ATCCAGGAAGTTAAATAGATGCATCAAGATCACAGCTAAGCAAATGCATGTCTGCGACGATTCTGAATTAAGTCTTTGGCTAAATTGAGCCGTACATTCCGTGGTACATGGTCGAGAAGCGAAGAAATAGCTCGAAATCGTTGTTTACGACCAAATGTATGTAGACCGGAAATGCAAGGAGCAAAACTGCTGACTGGATGTACTTTTAAGATGCGATATACACACGTTTTGTTTTTTTGTGTTTGTAGCTTCAGATAAAGCGACATTATTGCAATGGCATTGTCTCTTCTTACGATATTTTTGGTTGAATACATCATTGATAGAGGAATGAAAGGACAACTTTTGATCCGCTTTTATGACTGTTTTAATACAGTGGTGAATAAAGAGGACAGAAGAAAAGCGCTTCACTGATGGTTTTATGCAACCTGATTACCTCCATTGGCTTTACTGCACTGGATCAAGTTTGTATAAGAGAGGATACCATTTTTCATCCCTTGATTTAGCTACAGTAAATCCAGGAGTACTGACAGGTGTTAAAATATGTACAGGTTTTCATTAACAACAACTGATGTGCAGGCTTGAATGAGAACAAGGAAGTTAGTTTTTCCGAGAACTCTTGGACGTTCGAATTCTGTCTGTCTATACAGGTATGCAAAAAAGAGAAATTCATGCTGTGCATGCCAAAAATGCAGATTGCACTCGCACCCATTCAACAAAAATAAAATTCAACATGGGGCCCTGGTGCATATGAATACGAGTCAGACTTTGCACCTAAACATTTCAACCTTGTTCCTAGTTTCCCAGGGTATGAGATTGCTCAACGTTTAATTTTTCTTTGATGCTTTTATTCGGTTCTTCGGTTTTCGTTTTTTTTTGTTTTGTTTTGGCTTTCTTCACGATTGCCATTGTAAAACAACCCCATTACAAGAGGATATCATTAAACTTGTATCCGATGTTACATCTCATTACATTGTGTTACATCCGGTCAGCTGTCGTGCTTCTCAGACTTTTGGCCTACACATTCAGTTTATTCACCATTCTTGGCAAAATCTGACTCGATTTTAGCCAAAGACATTACTTTGGATTGTTCAAAGGCATGCATTTGCTTTGTACATTGATCTCAACACATTTACTTTACTTCCTGGCTGGATAATATTGATGAATTTAGGTGCTTGACAGCAGAAATCGCAAGTATTGCAACCATGTTTTGACCTTTCAACTATTCTTTGTCAAGTGTATGTGGGCTTCTTGTATCATCATCTCTGGTCTGAAACATGGCAAACTGGATATTTGATGGGAGTAACTGTTAGATTAGAGTCAGCGCTAGATTTGGTCAAGAAAATGGAGCGAGTGAAGAAGAGACATTGGAGAGAACCATGCAACGAAAGCATCCTGAAGAAATTTCCAAAACTTCAAGGTAGGGTTTGTATCAATTTATATTTTGTCAAATTTGTTGGCCGAAACCCTGTTAACTAAATGTAGGTAACAGACAAGATGATAAAAAATACTTTTGAAGCTGATTTTCTCTCTCCAAAGCCTGTTTGCGCCAAATGGTAGAGCCCTCAAAATTACCAATTTTGCAATTTGCCCCAGGTGTCTTCAGCACCCATGGCCAGAATATAGTTTTCCCCAAATTTATTTTATGATATTTAGAAACGTCAATATCTGTGTAATCTCTGCAGCTAATTTGGTTTATGTGGAAAGAGTACTTTCAGAGAAATTACTAATATGGTTGTTCTTGTTTTTCCTGCTTGTCAAAATGGCTGACAGGGAACATAGTAAGATGAGCATTTTCTTCTTGTTTAAAAAACCCAAAATACTTTAATGGCGAATTTTATAAACTGGGAGAGTGGCTGTACCATCTGTACGAATTTCATTTGAATTGGTTCTCATGCATCCGAGAACCAGACTCGTTTACTTTTACTTTTTGAGTGGAACTTTTGCTCAAAACATGGTCCTGAGACTGACGCCATCTAGTGCCGTTACCATGGCAACGATACATCTGCCGATCCAAATATGGTTGTTTTTGTTTATCCCCCAAGGTAACCTACCTCCACACAAAAATTGAAGGGGGGTCAAAATTTTTCATTTCCAACTTTGCTTCACTTTCCTGGAGAATTGCTCTTAAGTTTCATTGGCTCTAAAAACAATGAAAATGATTGGAGGAAAAACTAACCTGCAAGAGCATCCGGTTTTTTTTGGCTCTTGGTTTTTTTTGCACATGAAACAAGAGCAGAAAAAACAGGCGCCCTTGCACGCTAAAGAAAAACAAACGACTCGATCGAGCCAAGTGTTTCTGAGCTAGGCACAATTCAACCGGACGTTCAATATTTTTGGACTTCAAATTGGATCTCTCCAGGGTCACTCGTTTCCTGACCACTAGCATTCCAGTGGAAACCACCAACCAGTCTGTCTGCAAGAACAATTTGTGATATCAACAGAGATTTTGATCTTATCTGATACTCAGTGCGTGTTTACCGACCAGTGTGTAATTTTAGATATTTTGACCTTCAGGTTTGATTTGTAATACTTGTTAAACAACCATAGTGAGGCCTTGTCCATACTACACCAGAAAATTTGAAAGTACAGCTTTATTTCTAAGGTTAGGTTTTCCATCCACAATAATTTGCCAAGAAAACGGGCACTCTTCAAACGAAAACACTGTTCAAACCCGAGGAATTTGAAAACGCAGGCTTTGTGTTTTAATGTGGACTCAAAACATTTTCAAAATGGAGCTTTTCCAAAACAAGGATGTCATTTCCTCAAACACAAATCCAAAATGACAGGTGATTGTTGCGTTTTCAAATTTCTCCAACAAAGTGTGGACGGAAAACATTCGATGTGTTTTCAGAGTGATTAACACCCTTTCCAAATTTCTCCAGCGTAGTGTGGACGGGGCATGAGTGTTTGCAGTTCCAGGGTAGCCATTCAAAGTTAATGCTTACACAGACCAAAACATCCTGTACGAACGCCTCCAGATAGACTTGCCACAAGTAGACTTCTAATTCTATAAAATGAAGCCAACTTGTACCACTTGTTTGGATGCAAATTTAAAATTTGTGACCTTACACAGGAAAACGTGCATTAGCCCCTATCCATTAAACGGGCTAAAATAAACGGATGATAAACAGATAATAAACGGATAGTAAATGCCTTTAAAAGCATTAAAACATTTCCTACATGTACAAACGTTTTAA